TTGTCCGATCAGGTGTTCATAGTTCTCGAGCTCAGGACGAAGATCCAACCCTGGGGACAGGGTCGGGATTTCCGGGGGCCCAGCGCTGAAAAATCCAAGCAACCGGAGATCTAGCAATCTCGAGATCCGACGTTGTTGAAAAAGTGCGGCATCTCGCACAATGTGGACCGGAGCCCTAGACCCTAGACCCCATCCTTCTGCGGCACTCTCCGAACGTCTTCGAGCTGGCTATATGTGAGAGGGTCCCAGGGCCCGAAACCTGGCGGGAACGCCCGTTGTGGCAAAAACACAACGCGCAGATCTCAGAGATCTGCTCCCGCAGCCATTTTGGCTCAAGGGTGCCCCTGCGCCCCACCGGAGCGGGGCGCGAGCCACCACCATCAAACAGCAACTCCCCACAGCCTACGAGGCTCGCAGCAGGACATGATGCTGCGGGCGATCAGCAGCCGATGCCGGCCCCGCCTATGCCGGTCGGCCATGACCCAGGTGCTCTCCGAGCCCATGGTGTGGAACCAGGCCCCAGCCCTGTCCACCACCCTGCCCAACGGCGTGCGCGTTGTCACCAAGGAGGGCTGCCTCGAAGACGAGAGCACGGCAGGCGTGATCATGATCCATCGGAGTTCCGCGCGGATCTCCAGGATCGGCGTTGGGGCCCCCCCGGCGGCGTCTCCAGCGCCGATCCGAGAAAAGCGCGCGGAGCTCCGAGGGTGAATGTTTTTATGCTAGTCTGCTTCCTCCGAAGAGGAGGGCTTCGGAGAGCTGGCCAGCGTGGGGGTCTTCCTGGACGCGGGCGTGCGCGACGAGACCAAGGACACCGTCGGCGCCACGCACCTCCTCGAGCAGCTGACGCTGACCGGCACCACAAAGAGGCCCCCTTGGCATCGCTCGGACGTGTGCATTTTTTCGCCGGCGAGGACCATCGAGGAGCATCCTTGATCATTCGGCGAGAAAGCCACGCGCGAAACCGAACAAAACACAGGGAATGGACGTCCGAGCGATGGCCAGGCCCGCCTCCGCCCTCGAGAGTGAGATCGAGGGCATGGGCGCGACGCTGAGCACCAGCTTCGGGCGCGAGCAGTCGTCCCTGACCATGTCGTGCTTCGGCAAGGACGCAGGGCTCATTTCGATTCCTCCGATCTGATTCGATTTGATTTCGAGGGCTTCTGATTCCGATTCGATTCGACTTGGGATTCCGATCTGGGCTCCGATTCCTTATTGGACGCATCTTAGTCTGCCGATGTCCGCCGATTCGACTTTTCCCGACTCGGCTGCCGACTTCCGCCGATCCGACTCCTTTCGATCGCCGATCCGATGTGTCGACTCGATCCTGGGCTCCCCCGAGGACGTGCAGCAGAGCGTCGGCATCCTCGCCGACCTCGTGACGGCGCCGGCGGTGGGCAACCTGGACAAGCAGATGGCGGGGATCCTGCGCGGCCTCGAGGAGGGGTCGGAGTCCGCGCGCGCCGTCATCGACGACAGGCTCCACACCTGCGCGTTCCGCGACTACTCGCTCGGCTTCTCCACCATCGGCCCCTACGACGGCGTGGAGGCGCTGAAGCCGGCGCACGTGGGCTCGTACGTCCAGCAGAACTGGACCGCGGACAAGACGGTCATTTGCGCCACTGGCGGCGTGAAGCACGCCGACATGGTGGCCAAGGTTCAAGGGAGGAAAAGCCACCCCGACACCGATAATTGGCGTTTGCCAGAACGGCCCTGGGCGTTTACAAAGCAGCCCTGCTCTCTTGTTCGATTCGTTCCCTGGATGCGTTTACTAGGAACCGCTTCGCTTGTCGGGGTGCTGATTCTGGAGGTGGCTTTGCTGCCCTTTGAAGGTGACGGAGGCATTCGGGGGCATGAAGGCATGCTCCACGCCGGCCAAGGCCACCACGAAGCCGTACTTCTGCGGGGCCGAGCTCCTCTACCGCAACGACGAGATGGGCCCGACGGCCTACATCGGCGTGGGCTGGGAGAGCGTCCCCTGGAGGAGCCCCGACGCGGTCACGTTCATGGTCATGGCGTCGATCATCGGCAGCTACAAGAAGAACGCGGGGTTGGTGCCAGGCAATATCTCGGGCAACCGGGTGGTGAATGCCGTGGCCAACAAGATGCAGGTCGGCTGTGCGAACGAGTTCGAGGCCTTCGCCCACTTCTACAAGGACACGGGCATGTTCGGCTTCTACGTCGAGTGCGACGAGGTTGCCGTGGAACACGCTGTGGGCGAGCTCATGTTCGGCATGAACCTGCTGTCCTTCAGCGTCACCGAGGAGGAGGTCGCGCGCGGCCAGCGCGAGCTGAAGAACGCGCTCTGCAGCGCCACGAACTCCACGGAGTCGGCGTGCGCCAACCTGGGCAAGGAGATCCTGGCCTACGGCCGCAGCATCCCCCTGGCGGAGATGTTCCTCCGCATCGAGGCGGTCGACGCCGAGGACGTCAAGCGCGTGGCGTGGAAGTACCTCAACGACAACGAGGTCGCGGCGACCGGGCTCGGGCCACTCCACGGCATGCCGCAGTACTACGACCTGAGGCGCGCCACCTGCATGCACCGCTACTGAGCGCGCGGCTGCAGCGGAGACCGGCACGGCTTTCCGGCCGGGCGCGACAGTCGGAGGAGGGTCGGTCAAGACAGCGGGCCTGCTGCTTGTCCGTGCTTGTTGGGCCTCCTGCAGAGGCTCCTCGTCGCCGCGGCGGCACCCGCCCCCGCAAGCACGTGGCGGAAGGAAGCCCGGAGTGCTCCGGGGGGCCGAGTTTGAGCAGGTCTGGGCCGGGCGGGAGGGCCGTCTCAACGGCCCTCCTAGGCAGACCTCCTCGAGTCGTGAAAAAATCACGACGGGAGGTTTTTCGCTATTTTCGGCCTCCAGGGGCCCTCACCGGGCCTCGGGAGCGTCAAAAAACGACTCAGGACGAAAAACCGGTCCCGGGGAATGGGTCTGGACCTCTGGGCGTCGCGTCATGAAAAAATCATGACGTCGGGGGTCTGGGTAGGCAGCTTCGCGCCGTGCCGGCGACGACCCCGAGCGCGGGCGTTCAATGTTTTGAGCGCCGCCAGCGGCCCAGCACCGGCCGACAGGAAGCGACCCGCGCTCTGTCGGAGAGCCGAGATCGCTCCAGGCTGAGCCATCACACCAAGGAGGAGGAGGAGGAGGAGGAGGAGGAGGAGGAGGAGGAGGAGGAGGTCGTCTCCGTCCTCCGCCGTCACCGCCGTCGTCACACGAGGAGGAGGAGGAGGAGGAGGAGGAGGAGGAGGAGGAGGAGCAGGAGCAGGAGGAGGAGGAGGAGGAGGAGCAGAGGAGGAGGAGGAGGAGGAGGAGGAGGAGGAGGAAGAAGATGAGGAGGAGGGAGGGAGGAGGAGGAGAGGAGAAGAAGATGAGAGGAGGAGGAGGAGGAGGAGGTGGAGGAGGAGGAGGAGGAGGAGGAGGAGGAGGAGGAAGAAGAAGAGGAGGAAGAAGATGAGGAGGAGGAGGAGGAGGAAGAAGATGAGGAGGAGGAGCAGGAGGAGGAGGTGGAGGGGGCCAGCGCCGACGTCCCGGCACGAGCCCGCCGGCGACAGGAGGCTTGGCCTCCGGGGCGCCTCGCGGGTCTCCGCGGGCTTCCCCGGAACGCTCTCGGCGAGGCGCAGCCTGCGGGAGAGCGGCCCGGAAGCCGCGAAGACCCCCCAGGACCGACGAGAGGGTCCGACCCAGACATGCTCGCGTCGTAAAAAAATCAGGACGGGAGGTTTTTGGCTATTTTCGGCCCCGGGAGGGCCCTCGCCGGGCCTCGGGACCGTCAAAAAACGACTCAGGATGAACAGCCGGTCCCAGGGAAAGGGTCGGGACTTCAAGGGACGCCGTCCTGAAAAAATCAGAACGTCGCATGTCTGGGGAGGCAGCGGAGGAGGAGAGGATCACGCAGTGGCGAAGCGTCCTAGCTCGCCTATGGGCCTACCAGAGAGTGTTCTGAGAGACTCTTGTGGTGTGCACGCAGTGTTCTTGGAACATTTCTGGCTGAGACCCTCGTGTTTGAACACCTAGGGTTTTTGGTCTAAGAACCTTGTCGTTGTTTTTCGAACATTTTTGGGTTCTAAGAACATGTCGTGGTAGGCCTACAGGAATGCCGGGACGGTCGGTCCCTGCTCAAGAGGAGGGGAGGAGAGGTGCCGCTTCGTGCGCTCTTCTCCGACTGCTCCCCAGGGCCAGGGCCGATGATCCCCAGGGCGCGCCTCCGCCCAGGGTGTGCTTGCCCCAGGGAGCTCCGCCGACAGCGGGCGGCCCTCGTGACACCACCCGCGTCGCCTTCCAGGGCCTCGGTGGACACGCTCCGAGGATCATCGGCCGGGGCGCGCGCGAGCGGCGCGCGGCTGCAGAGATCCAGCTCGGGGAGCCCGGGCGCGGGCGCGGCCCAGGCCCAGCTGCCGCTCCCCCCCCCCGCCAGGGGGGGTCAGCCGGCTGGCGGAGCGCGGGCGTCGGGCACGAGGAAAGAATCGACGGCCCTCGCCCCTCCTGCGCAGTGGGGCGCACCTGAGATTGCGAAGGCCTTACGGCCGGTGCCGCCGACCCTGCAGACGGAGACGACGAGCAGGACAAGGACGTTGAGGAGCAGGAGGCGGAGGACGTCAGGGAGCAGGAGGAGGAGGAGGAGGAAGGGAGGAAGGGAGGAAGGGAGGAAGGGAGGAAGGGAGGAAGGGAGGAAGGGAGGAAGGGAGGAGGAGGAAGGGAGGAAGGGAGGACGGGAGGAAGGGAGGAAGGGAGGAATGGAGGAGGAGGAGGAGGAGGAGGAGGAGGAGGAGGAGGAGGAGGAGAAGGGGGGAAATGAATAGGAGCAGGACGAGGGAGTGGAACGGCCCTCGCCCCTCCTGCGCAGTGGGGCACCTGAGATTTGTTCACTGCCGCACTGCTGTCACCCGCGCACTACAGGGATCCCCTAAGCGGCGGCATGAAGCGCGGCTGAGGCAGCCACGTCCTCCTTGCATCGCGGCTTCCACGCAGTCTCGGCGAAGTCATCTGACTCGCGTGTCCTCCTCATCCCCCTCCTATATCCACTCACTCACTCACTCACTCACTCGCTCGCTCGCTCGCTCACTCCTCCCCCGCACCCCCCCTCCTCTCCCCCCCCTCCTTCTGTCCTCCCCAGAGCTTCGGCATCATTTTTGTTTCGCAGCCTGGACCCCCAGAGGTCTGGATCCCTTCCCTGGGAGAACGGCTTCTCATCCCGAGACGTTTTCTGGCGGTCTTTAGGCCCAACGACGGCCCCCAGAGGCCCAGAACGCCCCCCCCCTTTGTCGTGATCGTTCGCAAGGCGAGAGGGGGTGGGGGACCCCTTCTCCTCTCCTCCCCTCCTTTGTTCTTGCTTCGAGGTCCAGCAAAAAGATGCAGCATCGTGAACATTCGCGGCCGGAGCCCCAGGCCCCAGACTCCTGCTGCATTGTTTCTCCGCGTCGGATCGGCACGTGTGATGGCTCCGAGGCTGGGCGACAGACACCCTTTGGTGCGAAAAAACTGCGACGCCAGGATCTCAGGGTGCCCGCCCCCCCGTCACCACCCACCAAACCACCCCAGCCCAACCCGAAAGCCTCAGCTCGCCCTCCATCTCTGGTGGTGGGGGGGGGTCGGGGAGCTTTGAGAAAACGTCTGGCACCCGTACCCCCCCCACCCACCCCACCCGAAACTCGGGCCCACTTCGGGCCAAATCCGGGCTGGGTGGGGGTGGTTTGGTAGGTATAGCCCCCCCCAGCGGCCCCGGAGATCCGATGCCGTGACTTTTTCAGGACGGGGCCCCCGGAAGTCTCGACCCACTCCCCAGGACCGGTCTGTCATCCCGAGTCGTTTTCTGACAGCCCCTGGGCCCGGCGAGGGCCGCTATAGCGGCCGAAAACTCAGAAAAACCTCCGTCCTGATCTTCTCAACACGTTGGACCTCTGGGTAGCCCCCCCCCCGGCGGCCGCGAAGGACCCCCCGGCCCAGCCACGCCGCGGGCGCCGGCGCCGGCGGCGCCCGGACGCCGAGGTCCTCGCCCGCCGCCGCCAGCACCGGCGGCGCCAGCACCGGCGTGGGCCTCCGGGAGCACCTGGCGCTGCGGAGGCGGCAGCTCCGGGTCCAGGCGGGCCGCAGCGCCCCGATCCCGCCCCAGACCTCCTCGGGTCATGAAAAAATCACGACGGGAGGCTTTCCGCTATGTTCGGCCTCCGAGGGCCCTTGCCGGGCCTCGGGAGCGTCCAAAAAGGACTCGGGGTGAAAAACCGGTCCTGGGGAATGGGTCTGGACCTCTGGGGGTCGCGTCATGAGAAGATCATGACGTCGTGGCCGCCCCGGCGGCCTGGTCGAATCCGCGTTGCGGCGGGCCCGTGCCTCTGCAGGAGGAGTATAGTCAAGAACGGTCCAGAAAATAGTCGGGGGACTGTTTTTGTTTCTTCAGCTTTTCGGCTTTAAGCCATTTGGGAGTATGTTTGGGGGGAGTTTTTATTTTTCGCCCAAAGCCCCTGTAGGAGGACAGGCCCGACTCAAAATCAGCGATCTTGTTCCTGTCTCCGAGGCCATCTTGGAAGCTCCAGCGACCCGAGATCCCCTGTCCAGGTCAAGGGGGAGGGGGGAGGGGAAGGGGATGAGCCCCTCCCGGAGGTTGGAAGAGGAAGCTCTGCAAACCGTTCACGCCATGAGGGGCTGCTGGGATTACCCCCCTCAATGCCAGAGATCGAGGGCGGCGGCGGCGGCGACGGCGGCTGCACCGGCGAGGGCGTCGCGGACGACCTCGACAGCACCGTGTCCAGCGCGTACGCGGGCGAGCTTTCTAGGAAGGACAGCACCGCCTCGTCGGCGACCTGCCCTGGGCGCGCGTCGCTGGAGCTGCGCGGCAGGACTCCTCGACGTCCTCCCCTCCGGCGACTAGAACTACACATTGTTCGTCTCTAATTATTCGAAAGTTTTTGGGGGGCCAAGATCCTTCCATTTCTAATTGTTCTATCCTGGGCCTCTTCCTGGCCACTAGGGGGCCAGGAACAGTTCCAAACGAGCACAATTCTAGACGCTTCGCGTATCCCCACCAGCCCGTCCAGAAACGACGGCCAGGCGAGTAGAGGGTCGTCCTGAGGGGCTTTTCGGCGTCTTGGGTGCCTCGGGGGGGCCTCTTTGGGCCGTTTGGGATTCTCTTGGGGGCCTCCTGGGGGCCTCTTGGGGCCATCTTGGGGCCATCTTGGGGCCTCTTGGTGCCTCCTGGGCGCTTCTTGGGGCCATCTTGGAGGAAATCGATCAAAGAAGAGGGGAGCTTCAATTAGTGCTGCCCCCTCTGGGGGCCAAAATGGGGCCAAAACCTTAGTAAAATCAATGATTTTGGCTTCCTCGGCGAGGCCGTTTTGGACGCTCTGACCGCTCCCCGCCCCCCCTGTCCAGGTCAGCGGGGAGGGGGTAGGGGGAGGGGTAAACCCCTCCCCGAAGGGGAAGAAGGAGGGGTGGAAGAGGAAACGCTCTAAACCACCGACGCCCAGAGGGCTGGTGGGATTAGAAATGAGCTCGATTAGAAATGAACGATATGCACATTCACCGGCGCTGGCCATGCCAGGTTCGGTGCATGTGCATAGTTCTCTGTCCTGCACCCTGATCTCTCATTTTAAATTCCCTTGCAGGGCCCCCAAACCGAAGGAGACATAATCGTAATAATACGACGAATGATAACAAACATAATTAATAGCATGATTCATTGCGTGGAGCTCCACAGATGTGCATCTATTAGCATGGACCTGTCCGCTGTGAGCGTCTAACTGACACTTGACGGGCTTGAGTACTGACAGTCTGGGAGTGAACCTAACTGTGAACGAGTTGGAGTGTGCATGAGTCTCAGTGGTACGAGCGCGTCTCTGCGCATGAGCCTGGGGTCTTCTGGGACCTCCTGGAACCTCCTGGGGCTTCCTGGAGCCTCCTGGGGCCCCGTGTGGCCTCCTGGGGCCTCCTGGAGCCTCATGGGGCATCCTGGGGCGTCCTGGGGAGGATTCGCGCCCCAGGAGTGGCCCAATCTATAGGAACAGACGTACATAAAACACTACGGAGTGGAGCCACAGGAGAAGGGCAATCTATGGGAACGCACGTAAAACACCAAGGACTCGTTCCCCAGGGGATGACCAATCTACAGTAGCATACGTAAAACACTTCGTGCATACACAGGAGAAGGACTATCTATAGAAACGTAGGTAAAACACCAAGGATTCGTACTTCAGGGGAGGCCCAATCTATAGGAGCATACGTAAAGCACATGGGATTGAAGCCACTTCTGTGGCCTTCTGAGGCCTCCTGCTCCTGGGGCCTCTCGGGGCCTCCTGGTGCCTTCTGGAGCCTCCTGGGGCCTCTTGTTGTTTCCTGTGGCCTCCTCGAACATCCTGGAACCTCCTGAGGCCTCCTGGAGCTTCCTGGGGCCTCCTGGAGCCTCCTGGGGCATCCTGTGGCCTCTTGAGCCCTCCTGTGGCCTCCTGATGCCTCCCAGGACCCCTTTTGGGGCCTCCTCGAGCCTGCTGGAGCCTCCTGTGGCATCCTCAGGAGGATCTGTGCCCACGAGTCTGGCAACCGAAACAGGCAAACCGATCGAGGCATCCTCAAAATCTGGCCTGGGGGGCAAAAATCAGCGCCTCGCTCAATGCATCCTCCAAATCTGCTCCGACAGCGGAGGATTCTGCGCATGCAAACAGGCAAACCGCTCGAGGCGTCTCCGCCATTTTGGCGCGAACGGAGGAGTGAGATACCCCCTGGAGGTTCCCGCCTGGGGTGCGACAATCAGCGCCTCGCTCGAGACATCCTCCAAATCTGCTCCGAAAGCAAAGGATTCTGCGCATGCAAACAGGCAAACCGCTCGAGGCATCCCGGTCATTTTGGCCGAACGGAGGAGCGAGATACCTCTTGGTGCCCCCCCTTGGGTGTGCTTAAACCCGCGCCTCGCTTGAGACATCCTCAGAATTCGCTGCGCTCATCATTATCACAACAATCATCGGTCGATGTCTACCCACCAAGTGTTTATTGAATGGCAAGTTGCACCGACTGCCATCGAGCTACTCGTGCGCAGGCTAAGCTGGTGGCAGAGCACAATCCGATCGCACACGCATCATGGCCACTTTCTCGCTTCTTTTTTTTGGAATATGCAAGTTCGAGCAGCAGGCGGCCATAAGCAACCGCCCCGTCAGCGCTGGAACCCTCAATTCGCAGGGTGAGATCTCCGCAGACCCGAACGTGCACCCGTGGGCCACACAGCTCGCGGACGATCTGCTGTGCCTGTCGTCCCACACGATCGGCGAAAGCTTTCAGGAAGCGTGGCAGCCTCGAGTTGTAAAAAACCTGTGGGATGACGAGTGGGTTCGAGAGGCCTTCTTAAACTGTGACGTTCGGGCTCTCAGGGCTTCTTACTGGACGACTCAGTGGGCTCCCCCCGAGGCCAGCGTGATCACCTCCTCTCTCCCCTCGGCGGCAACATACGACGAGACGGACACTGACGACAAGACGAACCGCCCCTTCGTGTGCAACATCGAATCATGCCAGAAACGGTTCGGGACGCTCAAACAGTTCGTCACACGCCAAACTAAAGCTAAGAGCCTAGGACACGGTATGCCAGCGGTATTGACTACCCTACAGATCGACAACAAATGTATTGTGTGCCAAACTACGTATCCAAATCAAGACCATGCAGTTAGACACTTACGACGAGCATGGCACGCAGGCAGATGCATTCCAGAACTTACTCATCAGGTATTTCCCTGGATACCAGCCACATGTACTACATGCCCTCTACGGGACTACGCTCTGGATCATGCACGCCAACAGGAATATCATGATCAGCGAAAACTTCGAGCTCACGTCCTGGGGCATGTCCCACCGTCGCCATCGGGTTCCATGCTCAAGCCTGTCGTCAGAAGGCTTACCGCGCGCTCGGCCACTCCGAGTGCTCCCCCGCCGCGCCCCGCGCCATCCAGCTGCCGCCCATCGCCTGCCATAGAGGACACCCCTGCGGTACGCGCTGCCATTCGTCAGCCGGTGGAACGCATCGTGGGCAG